CCAGATTTAGTCAATGAAAGCCCAGGATATTCAGTTAAATTCAAGTATCAAAGAATCAAGATTCTTTTTTTTTAATTATGATCATTTATTACAATTTATTCAATTTGTATCCCAGCTGTAGCCCCCTCCCTCCTCTCCTCCCAATCCCACCCTCCTTCCCTCTTCTTCCCCTATGTTTCTCCCCTAGTCCACTGATAGGGGAGGTCTTCTTCCCCTTCTATCTGACCCTAGCATATCAGGACTGGTTTCATAGTCTTCCTCTGTGGCCTGGCAAGGCTGTCCCCCTCCCCCCAGGGACATGCTCAGAGAGCCTGCCACTGAGTTCATTCCAGAGACAGCCCCTGCTCCCATTTCTAAGGAACCCACTTGGAAGACTGAGCTGCCATGGGCTATATCTGAGCAGGGGGTCTAGGCAAATTCCATGCATGGTCCTTGGTTGGTATCCGTCTCTGCAGGACCCCTGGGCTCAGATTTTTTTTGGCTCTGTTAGTGTCCTTGCACAGCTCCTGTTCCCTAGAATCATAATTCTTAATGTAAGGATATTTCATGCAAAATTTATATTTTTATAAATGAAATCAATCTGACTTATTTTGCCTGTTTCCTTCCTTCCTTCCTTCCTTCCTTCCTTCCTTCCTTCCTTCCTTCCTTCCTTCCTTCCTTCCTCTCTTTCTCTCTCTCTTTCTTTGTGTTTGTTTTTTGTTTTGAGATAGGTTCTATCTCTATAGCCCTGGCTGTCCTGGAACTCACTGTGTAGACCAGGGTGGCTCAAACTCACAGAGATTCACCTACCTCTGCCTCCCTAGTGTTTCCATGAACTTTACCAAACTACAAATATTAGTCAGTGACAGTGACTGAGGGATGATAAAACACTTCTCTTCCTTCCTCTGATGGATGGTCAACCCAGATGATTATGAGGTTAGCCCAGAGGCTCAAGGGCTTACTGACTAGTTATGTATACAACACATTGGCTCAACTGATATTTATCACTAAGTGTGTGCCAGGCTGGTCCTTACCCTCACTGAGTTTTAGGCACAGGGGTGGGAGTAGGGGGGAAGAAGTCAGAGAACCATGAAGAATATTCTGAGGGATCAGTAGTCTGTTGGCTGATAGCTTAAGAACCAGCTCTGATGGGGAAAGGAAAAGGGTTTGTGGGTTTTGTTTACCCTGCAGGTGGGAATATCCCCCCATAGCTGATTTAAAGCTGCAGTTCTGACACCACTGAACACTTAGATGGGAATTGAGGAGCACATTCCTTGCTCAGGGTGACAGGAACCTGCTCCAGCATCCCACTGAATGGAGTACTTACAAACAACATCTCCATTGGGTCTGGTTCATTTGTTGCTGGTTTGGGGAAAAGGATTCAGGTGGCATAGAAATTGATTTTTTGAAATTTAAATTGAAAAGGAATCAACTATTAGGAGGTATAAAATGTGTTATTATTATGGCTTTTTTTTTTTTTAAGACAGGGTTGCTCTGTGTAGCTCTGGCTATCCTGGATCCTGGAACTCACTCTGCAGACCAGGCTGGCCTCAACTTCAGAGATCCTCCCGCCTCCGCCTCCTAAGTGCTGGGGTTAAAGGTGTATGCCACCACCGCCCAGAAAAAAAAAATTACATCAATAATATTGAATCTTTTAAAAATAATTATACTTCCAAATACAAATGAAAGAGTCTAATAGGCATAGCTGGAAATTAGACAGTCTATAAATGAAGACTCAGGTCTCTCACCTTCCCTCAGGACACCCTGGAGACCTGTCCTCCTTTGCTTCCTCACCTTTTTATTGAGCCTTATAAACCCATGGTTTCACAAAATTGACAGAACCCTTGGCCTGGGCCAGATTCTCTTCTAGAGGCTTCAGAATTTAGCCAGTTGAGTGTCCAGGGGACAGGACCTCCCTCCACCTCCTCCCTGTTCTTTCCGGGGCGGGTTCCTGCCTTCTCTTCCGTGCTACGCTGACACCGGTGTTTACAAGCTGGCTTTCTTTCTAGGAATATTTCAGCCAGGAAGACTGCCCCCCTTCCCCAAATCCTAACCCTACCAGTGATGTGTTTTTGCTGTTGAGATCATTTTCCAACCCTCAGTGGCGGATGTCTCCTTCAGTCCGAATTTGGACTCTTCTGACATCTCTGTATTTTTCCTGTCATGCAATCTATTTACCGTGGCCATTTAGCAGACTTTTCTGAATGCGTATTTGTTGACACATGTGTAAGGTACATGAATGGTGAAACCTAGCTGGCATAATTATTTTAAATGATTACACATACACATTTGCAAGACAGATTCTTGATATATGAGCCAGCTGACCTTGGATTCCTGACCCTCCTGCCTCGGCTGCCAAGGAGCTGGGGGTTAAGTGGGCACCAACTGTATACAGCTTATAAAACTACCTGTTTATATTTTTATCTAGAGACATTTTATGCTTAGGTTACTTAAAAGTCACTTAACGAACTTTTCCTGAATAGAAAACCATACAATTTGTTGTACACAATTTGGGGGAAGGACAGAGGTAGAGACAGCAATGGTATAGTCCACAGTCTACACTAGTCATTAACTTTTTGAGGTATAGCCTTCTAGCCATTTTTTTTTTCTTGGTATAAACTTACAAATAGAATTCATATCCACTTTTTACTGAGCATAACACAGTATGAAAATTCTATCATTGCCCTTCGGTATTTTTTTTAAAGACATGAGTTTAGATGATGAATGGTATTACATTTTGAGGTGAAGGCAGCTTTTCTGATTAACCACTTATTATCGGTGATGTTGGTGAGTGTTATCTTCGTCATAAGCTACAAGAAGGCAAGGACGGAATAGGTAATTGTCCTTCTCAGGCAGCAGCCACAAGCAAAATAAAACTGGAATAACTTGCTTATGTATGTGCTGTATTCCTTCGGTCACCATTAAACAAAACAAAACCAAACCACCGCCACCACCCCCACCCCCAGACTGCATAAAACCCAACTCGGCTGGCAACAAGGCCAGTGACGGCTCTGGACAATGTTGTCAGGAAGGAATCTGTAGTCCAGTCTACTCAAAGCAATCCTCCTGCCTCAGCCATCCAAGTGCTGGGATTAAAGATGTGAGCCACCTTGCCTGCTGCCTTGGGGATTATTTACAGTTTATGAGGATTTGAACTCTGAATTAAAGTCCTGGAGTTGGCAGAAGTCTCCCAGTGACCCTAACCTTATTGTTTTAGATGGGAAAGAAATAAGGATTTTTTGTTTTCACTTGCTGACATTAATGTCAGGACTCTTCACTTCTTTCATGTCCTGTGTTCTTTATGATACAATCTGCAGCCTAAGCTTACTCTTAAAATATAGAAAGAGGGGCTGGAACAGATGTGTTTGCCTAGCACATGTGAAGCTTGATCCCCAGCACACAAAGACCAAGCAAACAGAAAGAGCGTACCTCTGTTTACCCATCATATAAAGTCATAGCTATGCCACCAAGAAAACGGATGGTGTGTGTCCATGCAAAGACTTGTGCATGAATGTTCTTGGAAGTGTTAACAGTTGAAGGTATGAAGTGTGATAATATTCATACAAGAGAATGTAACCACGTGGCTATTAAAAGAATTCTGTTCAGAGAAACCAGACAGAATAAACACTGTGCAGGTAATCTCAAATTCAAGAAAATTCAAAATACTCTGTAGCACAGAGTTCTGAGGGGGATGGAAGTGGAGCAGGGAGGAACCTCAAAAGGGTAGGTGGAAGAGGGGTGGGAAGGCAACAGATTCACCACTTCAGAGCTGTATGCACCGTACAGGGTGAACCGAAGACCCGCACTCTACACCAAGGTCATTCTACGTCAATAAAGTTGTTCAGTTTGTGACAGCTCTTAGGTTTCGAAAGCAGAACGTGGCTGAGAACAGAAGAATCTGAAGCCCAGCGCCAGTCCAGTGACTTCTGGAGATAAGTGACAACCAAGGCGCTATTCTGGGGTGACAGTTTATCTGAAGAGAACATTACTATGAGAAATGCAAAGTCATAAAAATAAAAAATAGAAATGACATTTTTGTCCCCCTGGTAATCATGTCATTTCCTTATGCCCGCACGGTTTGCTCTGTAGCGTAATCTTTTTAGCGTTCTATTCAATTTGGTTGTTTAAAAGAGAGCAATAACCTTGTATTTTTTCCTGGACTACTAGACTGTTCTTTTATGAGCAAGATGGCCAGCCGCTGCTGTGTGTACGTGGGTGTGCAGAAAGCTACGCTTTATCTATAAATTTTAGCAAACGCTGTAATTTGTTTTTGGAATTTGTCGTCAATACTCAACAGCGGCACCAGAGAACTGGAAATTTCTAGAAACCATGCCTTCTTCAAGATAAACGCTAGAGTTTTGTTTTGTTTTTTTAAACATGAACTCAGTAGTTAAAATTTTCTACTTCGATTTTCCACTTCTGTGAAAACAAAGAACAGCTCTCCCACACACATGGGGCTACCCCTCCGGTAGGCTTTCTCAATTCCTTCGGTAGATTGTTTTTAAGGAAAGTTTTCTTCCCTTAGGTCTTTTATTCCGTGACGACTCCTGTTTTGCAGACTGGTGAGCGCACACTGGCTCATTTTTTTTCCTCTCTCTCTCTCTCTCC